TATACGGACCGATCCCGGTCCCAATATGCCCTGAACAGTAGCTTTTTTATTTTTTTTTCTAGGTTACATTTGATGAATTTTTTTATTTGCTTGTGGCTTCGAAAGACCGTTACGTAACATTATCTCTAATAACCTTCAACTTATACGTTCGTGGTTTTGTAACGATATTACTCTGTACCATCTTAAGAAAATTTCAGGTAGACAATCGATGGTTTTGTGGTTCCCAGGGACTGTAGGGTCGATGTACATGCAATTGGTTTTCGCAGGAATTGATTTAGGACACGAGAAGAAGGTAATGTCCTTACATGAAAAGAATAAAAATGTGCACTGGGAGAAGTTTCTGGATTTTTTTTCTACTATATTCGGACCAAAATCGGTCTGAAAAATGAAAAGCATGGAAGCTTCTGGATTCTTTGCATATCTTCAGACCAAAACCGGTCCGTATATATATTCATACTTAATTTAATTTAGCTGAAGGATAAAAAATCCCTCGGAGTGCCTATATTCGGACTGATACCGGTCTGTATATATATATACGGACCGAGATCGATCCGTATATTCCCCTTAACAACATCTTTTTATTTTTTTTGTTATTTCATGCTTAAGTCGTTTTACTCTTGTTTTAAACCGTAACATTCCGAATGTTGGCAAGCCAAAGTGGTTAGCCTAAATAAAAAAAATTAATTTTATTTGCTTGTGGCTCCGAAAGACCATTACGTAACATTATCTCCAATAACCTTCAACTTATACGTTCGTGGTTTTGCAACAATATTACTCCGTACCATCGTAAGATAATTTCAGGTAGACAATCGATGGTTTTGTGGTTCCAAGGGATTGTAGGGTCGATGTACATGCAATTGGTGTTTGCAAGAATGGATTTAGGACACGAGAAGATGGTAATGTCCTTAAATGAAAAGAATAAAAATGTGAACTGGGAGAAGTTTCTGGATTTTTTCTTGTATATTCGGACCAAAATCGGTCTGAAAAATGAAAACCATGGAAGTTTCTGAATTCTTTGCATATATTCAGACCAAAACCGGTCCGTATATATATTCATACTTAATTTAATTTAGCTTTAGGATAAAAAATCCCTCGGATTGTCTATATTCGGACCGATACCGGTCCGTATGTATGGATTGAGGACATGAGAAAATAGTAATGTCCTTAAATGAAAAGAATAAAAATGTGCCCTGTGAATTTTTTCCCAATATATTCGGACCAAACTCGGTCCGAATATATTAATGTGATCCCTTGTGTTCTAAATACATATATGGATCGATATCGGTCCGTAATTAATTTATGCCCGATTTTGCGCCAATTTATTTAATATTCAGACCGATTTCGGTCTGAATATTATTAATGCGCCAAAAATTTTCTCAAAAAAATTGAAAGATTTAGGTGGAGTAGTGATTTTTTCCCAATATATTCGGACCAAAATCGGTCCGAATATATTCATGTGATCCCTTGTATTCTAGATACATATACGAACCGAAATCGGTCCGTAATTAATTTATGTGCCAAATTTTTACCGTAAATTTGAATCTTTTTGATTCTACACTAATTTATTTATATTTAGACCGATTTCGGTCTGAATATTATTAATGCGCCAAAAATTTTCCCCAAAAAATTGAAAGTTTTTGGTGCCGCGCGCTAATAAAAATTATACGGACCGAAAACAGTTCGTATAAGCCTTATATATATCACCACTTCTCTTCCTTTTTCTCATTTTCTCTTCTTCCTCTCTTTCTTTTCCTTTCTTCCTCTCTTTCTTTTCTCTTCTGCCTCCCGTCTCCTTCTTCTTTTTCTTACTTTTTTTTTTCTACTTCCTTTTATTTGTCATTTCCTGTCTTCTTTTCTCTCTTCCCTTTTCTTTCTCATTTCCTTCTATTTCCTTTTCTTTTCTCTCTTTTTTCTCTCCACTTCTTCATCCTTTCTTTCCTTTCTTTCTGTTTTCTCATATGTATTTTTTTAAATTTTTTGTTGTATTGGTTTATTTTTATTTTTATGTTTATATTTCATTAACTAACTTTTGTTTTTTTTTTTTTTTAGGTTAAATTTGATAAACTTTAAAATTTTTCACATATATATGTTTATTTTATTGCATTTTTCAATTTTCTTTTATATTTATATATATTTTGTTTTTTGTTTTGTAGGAAATGTGGAGAATTTCAAGTAAAAGCATTAAAGGTAATGATTTAATTAATATTTTTTTATATTTTGTTGTGATTTACATTATTTAATTGTTGTAGTTTATATATATTTA